CAGGTGCCACCCCCAAACTTCATTTTCATTCCTTATCTATTCCTCATTACCCATGTCAAATTGCCAGCAGTTACAGCCAACCACCCAATCACTTAGTGTTCTATACCAACTTTTGTCATTTTGTTTATTCCTAATACGCTGGATTTTAAGTAATTTTTTAAGAACAAAGCTTATTTTCTCCTTTTGCATATGGGTATCTTCCAACAGTCAAGCTAAAGAGGACAAACACAAACTGAATTATGAAACTGCTACCTCAATCAGTGTAGCATAGAGCAAGTATTAATAACCTTTCCCTTTCACCAGCTTGAAGGAGAGAAGAGAGAGAAGTGGAAACAATTGCTGTAGGCACGCTATAGTCCTACTGACAGAGACCCCAGAGAAAAGGCGAGACCTGCCTCATGGGTGTGTGTGTGCCCAATATCTGGGTCTCTGTAACAATTCAATTCATGATAAGGATTATGATGTCCTGGCATGGCAAACACCAAACCCCCACATTTTACAAGGAGAAAAAGAATATGTTTACAGATATTACAGTGATGCCTTAATGTTACTAGAGCCCTCTTCCCATTTTCTCCTGTTTTCCCAGTTCATGCCCCTTTGGTCAGCAGAGGCAGGGGTTAATTAGGATGTAATAGGTTTGAAAAAGTATCCAGGATGGACAAAATTAGGAATTCTGGGTATTTTCATTTGGCAAAAAAAAAAAGTGTACATATATATATGTATATAAATATGTATTATGCAAACAGCACACACATACATATTTTGTTTGTGTGTGTGTTTGTATTCTGCCGGATACAGTGGCTCATGCCTATAATCCTCACACACTGGGAAACCAAGAAAGGCAGATTGCTTGAGCTTAGGAGTTTCAAACCAGCCTGAGTGTGAGACCCTGTGTCTACCAAAAATAGAAAGGGGAAAAATAAAAACTAAGGCAAGAGGATGGCTTGAGCCCAAGAATTTCAGGTTGCTGTGAGTTACAATGTCACGGCACTGTAGTCAGGGCACCAGAGTAAGACTCTGTCTCAAAAAAAGAAAAAAATGTATTCTGTTGTCTTGGCCGTTTATATCTTGGTTTTTCATCTTATCATGTAATTTGTTTTCTTGAGACTGTAGGCATCTATGAATTGTGGACTGATTTAGATGCCACTCCCAGGGCCTGGCACATGCCACACAATGAGCAGCTGCTATAGTCTTTGTCCTAAAATTCATACACTGAGGGGCAGCAGCCCTCGCTCAGAGGGTAAGGGCGCCGACCACATACACCAAGGCTGGCAGGTTTGAACCCAGCCCGGGCCAGCTAAGACAATGACAACTGCAACAAAAAGAATAATGGGGGGGTGTTGTGATGGGTGCCTGTAGCCCTAGCTACTTGGGAGGCTGAGGCAAGAGAATCACTTAAGCCTAAGAGTTTGAAGTTGCTGTGAGCTGTGACGCCACAGAACTCTACCCAGGGTGACAGTTTGAGACTTTGTCTCTAAAAAAATAAAATTCATATTGAAACTTAACCTCCAATACAATCAAGAAGTGGGACCTTTGGAAGATGATGAGGTCACAAAAGTTCCTCTCTCATAAATGAAATCTGCATTCTTATGAGTCCCAAGAGAGTTCTTTTGCCCCTTCTGCCAAGTGAGGACACAGCTAGAAGGTGCCTCTGTGGGTCAGAACATACACCTTTGCCAGACACAGAATCTGCTGGTACCTTGATTTCAGACTTTCCATCCCACTGTGAGCAAGAACTTCCTGTTGTTTATAAGTTACCCAGCTAAGATATTTTGTTATAGCAGCCCAATGCACTAAGCATTAAAATAAAGTTATTTTGCTCCAATGAGTAATTTAAAATGAACAGCTGCAGAAACTGAACAGCAGTCATCCTAACAGGATCCTAAGGAAATAATTTTTGAAAAAGTACAAAACATCAAAATGTGTGTTCCAGAATTCAGCATATAACTAAAGAAGGGACATGTCCCTGATTTCATAAGTATTTGTTGCAGAGCACATTTTTTTCGAAATAAAAATAAAAACATTTGATGATTTCATTTAGGAAGGACTAACAGGAAATTGTTAGTGTTTTTGAACCACGTCCTCAGTTTTATAGATGATTCAGTCTTTAAAAGTCTTCACATTGGAATGTGATGACACGTTCGTGAGCTGCTCTTTTGACCTCACTTTAGTTTACAAATTGCCTCCCTGTAAGAATCAAGATTACAAGGCCAAAGCAATAAGTAATAGAAAGTCAACGTCAAATATCCACAAAAATATAAGAACTGTATGGCTTCAAGAGTTATCTCAGCCCAGCACAGTAAGTCACACCTGTACCCTAGCACTCTGGGAGGCCAAGGCAGGTAGATGGCTTAAACTCAGGAGTTTGAGACCAGCCTAAGCAAGAACAAGACCTTGTCTCTACTAAAAATAGAAAAACTAGCTGGGTGTGGTGGCAGCACTTGTAATCCTGGCTACTAAGGCTGAGGTGAGAGGACTGCTGAAGCAAAAAAGTTCATGGTTGCTGTGATCTATGATGCCACAGCACTTTACCCAGGGCAAAGAATGAGACTCAAACAAAAAAAAGACAACCAACCTGTTTTGTCTACAATCCTACCTCTTATCTTCCACATTATTTTGAAACATTTCTCATATATAATTTTATCCATGACTATTACAGTATTACTGCTAAAGTATCAATATTTTTAAGATAGCCCCAGTACCATTAGCGCACATTAAAAAAGGAATAGAAAGTTAACAATATCAGCACATATTTAGTGAATTGAAATGTGTAATAAATGTCATTCTTATTGAAGCAGGACCCAATTAAAGTCTACACAATGCAATTGGTTATTACCGATTTTGTGTTTTTTATTCTAGAGCAGTGGTTCTCAACCTTCCTAATGCCGTGACCTATTGTGTTAATATTATAATTCCTCATGTTGTGGTGACCCTCAAGCATAAAATTATTTTCGTTGCTACTTCATAACTGTAATTTTGCTACTGTTATGAATCATAATGTAAATATCTGATAAGCAGGATGTATTTTCATTGTTACAAAGAGGTCGTGACCCACAGGTTGAGAACCACTGCTCTAGAGGATTACAATCTCCATCTCTCTCTCTCTGTCTTCTTGTGATTCATTTGTACAGCTGTTGGTCCTGGAGAGTTTCATACAGTCTAGGTTTTTCTAACTACATTCCAAAGTGTGACTTATAATATTCTTCTGTGTTTCCTCTAAGTTTTATTGTTGAAAGTGATAAAGCAGCCATCCTGCAATTAGGAGAACTTAATATCTAGGAATGGTCAGGAGGAAAGCTATCCAAAGAGAGGTCCACCAAAACCACTATTAAAAGCTGACTTTCCAGCAGAAACAATGGAGGCCAGAAAGCAGTGAAGTAATTTATTCCAAATGATCAAAGACACTGCTAACCAAGAATTTTATATTCAGCAAATCTTTAGAAAATGAAAAACAGACCCTCCTTATAAGAAATTCTGAGAATCCTTCAGGCTGAAAGTAAATGACCTAGATGATAAATCAATTCCCCAAAAGAAAAAAGCCCTGATAGCATTCATGATGTAATTTAAATAGAGTATATGTCTTTTTCCCTCCATTTCTTAACTAATTTAAAAAGCAACTGTATAAAACAATATGTGTATGATAAATCATTGATCCTCTAACATAGAGAAATTTGATCCCTTTGCTGGCAATAGCATAAAGGAGGTGGTCAGGAACAAAGTTGTTTTGAGCTGAGAAAAACTACTCCAGACTATAATTTGTATCCATAAGAACAATTAAAGAGAAAGAAATGAATAATAAGGTTAATAAAACAAAAACCGTAAATATATACTTGTTCTTAACATGCTCAGCTAAAACTTGTTCTTTAAATGCTCAGCCAAAACTTATGGTATGTAGCAAAATCAGTGTTCAGAGAAAAATGTATACCTGCAAATATATGTGTAACTACGAATTTGTACCTGTTAAGAAAGAAGAAATAGCTCAAGTCAATAACCTAAGCTTTCACTTTAATGTCCCAGGAAAAAAAGCAAAATAAACCTGAAGCAACCAGGAGGAAGTAAATAGTAGATTAGAGCAGAAATGAATGAAATAGAGATTGTGAAAACAAAAGTGGAGAATCAATGAAACCAAAAGCTGTTTTTTTTTAAATTGACAAACCATTAGCTATCATGATAAGAGATAGGACTTAAATTATTAAAATTAGAAATAAGAGACACTACTATTGATCTTACGGAAATAATAAGTATTGTGAAAGAATACTACAAACAATTGTATGCCCACAAATTAGACAGCCTGAATGAAATAGATATCTAGAAACACAAAAACTACCAAAACTGACTCAAGAAGAAACAGGCAAATATGGGAGCAGTGGCTCATGCCTGTAATCCTAGCACTCTGGGAAGCCGAGGCAGGTGGATTGCATCAGTTTAGGAGTTCAAAACCAGCCTGAGCTACAGCAAGATCCCATCTCCAAAAGTAGCCAGGCGTTGTGGTGGTGCCTGTAGTCCTAGCTATTCAAGAGGCTGAGGCAAGAGGCTCACTTGAGTCCACGAGTTTTGAGGTTCCTGTGAGTTATGATGACACAGCACCCTACTGAGGGCAACAAACTGAAACTGTCTCAAAAAAAAAAAAGAGGGACAATCTGAGCAGATGTATAACAACCAAAGGTATTAAATTAGTAATCAAAACAATAGGCTCGGCACCTGTGGCTCAAGTGGCTAAGGCGCCAGCCACATACACCTAAGGTGGTGGGTTCGAATGCAGCCAGGGCCGCCAAACAACAATGATGGCTGCAACCAAAAAATAGCCAGGCGTTGTGGCCAGTGCCTGAGGTCCCAGCTACTTGGGATGCTGAGGCAGGAGACTGGCTTGAGCCCAGGAGGTGGAGGTTGCTGTGAGCTGTGAGGCCATGGCACTCTACCCAGGGGGACAGCTTGAGGCTCTGTCTCAAAAAGAAAACAACAAAAAAACAATTGCCGGTGAAGTGGGGAGTAGCTAGAGAATGAGTGTTTCAGTGCGGTGTTTGTGGAATTCAGTCTCCTCCTATTTGTTATCTCCCTCCCTAAAAACCATTTTTGATCACCTGAAAATGAACTGAGATTGGCGATTCATTGCTCTTAATTCAAATAATAGACTGGGACCGGTAAATGGGGTAGAAGGATTTTAAAACGTATGTAGATCAGGCACATAGAGCCGCTGAGGAATTTGTCAATATTTACTATGAGACAATGGATAAAAGAAGATGGGGACTAACCAGGCTGTATCTGGAGAAGGCCATCTTAATATGGAATGGAAATGTTGTTATAGGGCTAGAAGCCCTATCTAATTTTTTTGAGATGTTGCCATCCAGTCAGTTCCAGGTCAATATGTTAGATTACCAACCAGTTCATGAGCAAGCTACCCAGTCCCAGACTACAGTTCTCGTTGTGATCAGTGAAACGGTGAAGTTTGATGGAAACAAACATCACTACTTCAACCAGAACTTCCTGCTGACTGCTCAGTCCAGTCCTACCAACACTGTGGAAGATTGCAAGTGATTGCTTCCGTTCTCAAGATTGGGCTAGTAATTAAGGGAGGGAGTCATTTCTCCTTTCATCCATTAGTTCCAGCAACACAAATTTATGTGAAATTAATTCATGTTATTGTAGAAGCATTCTAAACTAGTACATGATAAGGTGATGAGATAAAATTAATTTCTTTAATTTTTTATTTCTGGCAGCATCTTTTCTAGTAGCTGCCAGTTTGAATCATTGCCCTTAAGACCTTTAATGCTGGCTCGGCGCCTGTGGCTCAACCGGCTAAGGCGCCAGCCACATACACCTAAGGTGGCGGGTTCAAATCCCCAGCCCAGGCCCGCCAAACAACAATGATGGCTGCAACCAAAAAATGGCCAGGCATTGTGGGGGCACCTGTAGTCCCAGCTACTTGGGAGGCAGAGGCAGGAGACTCGCTTGAGCCCAGGAGTTGGAGGTTGCTGTGAGCGTGATGCCATGGCACTCTACCCAGGGGGGATAGCTTGAGGCTCCGTCTCAAAAAAAAAAAAGACCTTTAATGCTAGGTTTTTACAAGCCTTATATACATTCCAGTAATGGCATTTTTAAAGTAATATTAAATACATGATTTTGGTACTAACATCCTCACTGTGAAACCAGCCTATCACAAAAATAAAATCCTTTTATGATCCTATCTATGAGGTATTAGCACAACATAGTTGGGAGAGGAAGTGGAGGTTTTTTTGGTTTTCAGGTTAATTTTGTAGTTTTTGAAAAAACTTGTCCGTTTTCAGTTAACACTGGTAATGCAGTTTTAATATAAGGCTCTTTCAAATCAAATCAATGCAAACAGTACAAATTTATTTATTTATTTACTTACTTATTTATTTATTTTTGCAGTTTCTGGCCGGGGCTGGGTTTGAACCTGCCACCTCTGGCATATGGGGCCGGTGCCCTACTCCTCTGAGCCACAGGCACCACCCAGTACAAATTTAGATTTATGTAACTACTCTGACATATTGGACTTACATATAGAGAAGTCTGGTAGTCTTTTGTCATATTAAATTTTTCATGTTGGCATGTTTTCTTATAACGTAAATTAAACCAAGTATAAGTATAAAATATTCTCAGTTGATACCTGAACATTAGGTACGCTTGGTGGCTTAAAAGGAAATCTCTGTAAAAAGATTTTTCTTGGCAGCTCTATGTCTATAAATGTAGGTAATGAATGATTGTAGAACTAATAGCTTTAATGGGAGAATTGGAAATAAGACATACAGAAATCGAAGGTTGAGGCCAGATGGTAAATTTTGGGTACTTACTTTCTACCTCCTAAAAATGTAGCTTATTTTCAGGATTTAAACCACTTAAGTTAATAGGTATCCTTGTCAAATGATCATGAGTATCACTTTTGTTCTAAGAATTATTTTTTAAGATCTTTCCACTTGACCTCATGTTTAACACCAATGTTTGTCTCATTTATTCAAGAACTTCTGGGTGTAAAATGTCGGCAATAAACCTAACCTTGTTACAGGGTCTAACACAGAAGATGGAAACAAAGCCATTGCTCTCTCTTTGCGACACCCTTAACTTCTAAGTCTTCCACGTGAACTTTTAGGACTTAAGTCTTCCTATGTTTCAACCCAGCCCCACCTCCCCACCCCAGCCCCACCCAGAAGTGTGTTTTCCCCTGTGTTGTGTACTGTCAACTTCAGTATGTTTTCCTTAATTTTTTAGATTAATTATTTAATTTTATGATTTGTTCTTCCATAAGGCTTGAGCAAGTAGATCTGTTTTAAAGCATCTTCCTACTATGTGGCTAAGTCACTGTCTTTTTAAAGAGAAAATAGAAAACAGCACATCTTCCTGATAAATTTAACAAATTGGTTAATTTTATGTCTCAACTTCTAAAGAGAAGAAAACAAGCTTTACTTTCTGTTTAAACTTTGAATATCTTTTCCATGTTTTAATGTTCTTAAGCTAGATAAGCCAGTTTTATTTTTACACTGCAACCAAAATTAATGTTTCTTACCACTTAATTTTAAAACTAATAATTCATTGTGTGGCCCCAAACTATGTACTGTATTTCCTGATATAGTAACACAATAGAATTAGAATAAGATAAAGGGGTAGAACTAAAATTTAAACCACACTTTCTTATAGCACTGATCAAAACTTACACATTATATTCAACTAAAAGTGAGCTTACTCTTTATTTAGGATCGGTTTTCTAAAATCATGGCTTTAGCAACAACAATCAGAATCCCCCAATACTGCCCTTCCCATTGTGGAGAACAATCTCAAGTAAAAACTGCATATAACTAGCAATAATTTAATGGGTATCATATTGAATGGTTATGCTTTGTTCACAATTGTATGTTTTAAGATTTATGTATGAATTTCTTTTTCCAAACTCTGTATAATTTCTAAATGGCTGGAACTACTCTTATATGGACTAGACTGTATTTTTGACATGCTCATATTTTTGTAACTTGAAAGAATAAAATTTGCCTTGTGACAAGTTTTCTCAAAAAAAAAAAAATTGCCCACACAAAAAAAGCCCAACCTTAGATGATTTTACCACTGACTTCCATCAAAAATTTTGAGCAAATTGAGGAGAATGAACACGTTTTATATAAAAACACATTCTTCCAAAAACAGAAGGGATGGGAACACTGCCCACTTCATACTGAGGCCAGTATTAGCCTGATATTGGAATCAAACAAAGATATTACAAGGGAAAGAAAATTACAGACTAAAATCTCTTATCAATATGGATGTAAAAATCCCTGAATCAAATACTAGCAAAGTGAATCCAATAGCATATAAAAAATTATACACATGCTGAAGTAGGTTTATTCCAGGAATGCAAGTTGGCTTAAGATTCAAAAATAAATTAATGTAATAAATAATTACAATAGAATAAAAAATAAGAAACCAAACTCAAAACTATGTGATCTTGTCAATAGGCACAGAAAAAGCATTTGACAAAGTTCAATACCCATTCCTAATGAAAATATTCAACAAACTAGAAATAGAAGGAAAATTCCTCCATCTGATAGAGATTATTAAAAACCTATAGTTAACATTACACTTAATAGGGAAAGATTAAAATTTTAAGATTACACTTAAAAATGGTTGAGATGATAAATTTTATATTAGGTGATTTTTGCTGCAATTAAAAAAACTTATATTCTCAAAACTATAGAACATCATTAGAAAAAATTAAAGATCTAAATAAAGGGGAAAATATGCCATGTTTATGGTTCAGAAGACTATATTAATAAAGTGGAAATATACCCCTAACTGATGGACAAATTGAACACTGAATTACATGGAGAAATTTACAAAACCACAAGCAAAGTGAGACTTTTATTTTTCTCTCTTAGTAATTCATTGAACAGCTTAAATTTAGGTATAAAAGATTTGAACAATTATCAAATCTGATTAAATAAACACATCCTATCTGCAACAATTAGAAAACTATACATTTGTTAAAAACACGGTACATTTATAAGACCTGATGATGTTTTGGGACACATATCATGTGTCAACACATTTTAAAGTTACTGTATTAGAGGCTTTATCCTCTAACCACAATAAAAAAGTAGATTTTACTCACACTTGTAATCCTAGCACTCTGAGAAGCCAAGGCACATGGATTGCCTGAGCTTAGGAGTTCAAAACCAGCCTGGGTTAGAGCAAGACCCTATCTCTAAAACTAGTTGGGTGTTGTGGCTAGCAGCTATAGTCCCAGCTATTCGGGAGTTGGAGGCAAGAGAATCACTTGAGCCCAAGAGTTAGAGGTAGCTGTGAGCTATGATGTCAT